GAGCTTTACCACGCCTTGGCATCCTAACATTACGTAGAAAAAAAATCAATCCAAAGTACCTTGCAACGAATGTAAATGTACTAACACTACATCACCATACCTCCCAAATAAGCTTTTCATTACAAACCCTAAACAAATTTGAATCCCAACAAACACAAAATTTAACTCAATGATTATAAACCATAACATATACAACAACAACAACACCAACAACCATACATTTGGGTCATTCAATCATTTGAACCATCATACATTGCACGAATGACATGAACATGAACCAAACCTATAATGCCAAGTTCAAAAACAAACGAATCTAAATGAATGAATTGAAAGAGGGGAAAGAGGAGTACCTTGGCAAAACGCCTTGATCATAACAAATTGAAATGTAATGACCAACAAATAAATAAAATACATAGTAACCCTAATGACCAACAAATAACTAACCCTAATGACACCTACAATAAACAAATAACCCTAATGACCAAAATAACTAGAAACCAAACTAACCTAACATGTTCATCACATAAAACAGTTAAATAACAATGCACTCAATGATCCTAAGCCATACATTTTGCAAATGCAAACACAAATATATCAAATCACCAAGCAACCATGATTCCAAATGATTAGGGATAATGTAAGCACATCTACGCAGATAGAATGGAGGAGGGGAGGGACCATTACCTCGAGAAAGCTTCGGGAGACAAGATCCGGGCACCGGGGGTCGATTTTGGAGGTTAGAGTTTCGTGGGGGCCGTGGGGGATTTGGGAGCCGTGGGGGAATGGAGGAGGGGAGGGAACAAGAAGAAGGGGCCTCGGCGCGGCCTAAAGGGTCCAGACCTCGGCGTTGAGTCGGGTCACGCCGAGGTCTGGAGGCTCGGCGTTAAGTGACCCAACGCCGAGCTGCTGGGCCACCGTGCTTTGTTGGGCCGCCTGGGCCGCGCTCCGGATGGGGCCAGAGCTCGGCGCTCGGTCTGAACGCGCCGAGGTTGGGTACTTGGCGACGGCTGACACGACGCCGACGTCTCGGACCCATGCGCCAACGTGTCGACGACGACCCCGGTCTTCCGTGACGTGGCAGTACCTCGGCGTCGAGTGACACGACGCCGAACCTCATATCTCGGCGTCATGTGCTAAGACGCCTAAAAATGGTCTATTTTCAGAAAATGTTTTGGCGTTGGTATTTTTCTAAAAATTATTTTCAAAAGAGACCAAAATACGAAAATTTCACCGCCATCAGGCAGGTCGCAAACTGCTGCTGCTGCTCCGGTCCAGGTTCTCCTTGACTCGCCGCCCGGTTAACTGTCCTATCTACTACCGCACAGGTGTACGAACAGGGATGATACGCTATTGTTAATTTCTCTGGCCGCAGCCGCGCAGTGCAGGGGAGGGGACGGCGCCGGGACGGATTCACCACCGCATGCACGGCGCCGCCTTGCCAAAAAGTCCAGGACGAGGTGTGTTTGAGCAGCACGAGATCGTGGAGATCGGAGGGTGTTTGAATTCTGGGAGCCGGGTAATCGTCAGCAACGAAGCAAAAACTCTGGCGCGACGGCTGGCACGGCATCTAGTGGTCAAAAAGGATCTGCAACTGCTCGCTCTGATGCTACAGCTCGAAGCAGGTGGTTCACGAGTCACGAGTCACGACTCCGGCCTTGTGTCAACGACGATAATGGGAGATTGGGGGAAAGGTGGCGTCTAGAATGTAGCGCCACGTTCGTTTGGCTTATAAGGCGTATTTTTTCAGTCAACGAATAGTATTTTTTTCTCACAATAAATCAGCCAACAGTATTTTCAGTCATGGCTTATCAGCCAAGCGAATAAGCCATAGTCAACTAGTATTATAGGTTGGCTATTTGAATGGCTCTACTAGAGAGATAAGTATTTAATACTTGTATTGTAAATGATCTGCTGTGTTGTACATCTACCCCGAATTAGGTAAGAGAAAGCAAGAGAACCTTTTTACTCGTATAACATGTGTTGCATATAGGCGAAGAGCTTAACGCCCGCTCCCCAGTCTCTCTACTAACGTGGCTGCTTTTTGTATGACGTGGATCTCTTCTCGCCGGCTGAAAAACGCTTAGTATACTTGCTCGTAGTACTGATCTAACATCGGGTGAGCATAAGAAATCACGTCAAGTTGTGCATGATTTCCCCCACTTGCTTGGATCCCAAACTATATATGCAAATCTAAGAGTAGTTTATATATCGCAGCTCGACGACGACCTTTCGTTGGGCGTTAAGTTTATGGCCCTGTTCGGCTGACTGAAAAAACAGCTAACGCTGATGCTGATTTGATTTATTATGAGAGAAAAATACTATTATTTCGTTGAAACGGTACTGCTGATAAGTTTAAGCGAACGAGGCCTATCTCGCGATGGACTTGCACTTGCACTAAGTTATTTCTGGTTCAAAACTGAAATTCACATCACCCGTCCGGCGGCCCACCCTTGCGGCCGGTCATCGCACGAACAGCGCCAAGGGAGGACATGGACGTACCGAAAGCACGCTAGATAGCGGGAGAAACGCGTCCCAAGGCGCTACCGTTCTCACCCATGCCACCCCGGCCCTCGATGTCGATCTGCCGCTGCCCCGTCGAGATCTTCACCGCTGACCCGTGCTACCAGTAGCACTGTAGCTGGATCGGGCCACAACAGGCCAAGCAAGGGCCCAAGGCGCACGCGGAACACACGTACCAGTAGCATGTGGTCCAAGTTGCCACGGCCCTCTCTCCCGCGTGCCAAGCCGGGCTATTTGTACCCCCGCCCTTGCGTTACCCAACACGCACTCAACGTCTCCTCCAGTCCTCCGGAAACCTTCAAACGCCCTTGCAGTGAAGGGGACGATCGAATTTGAGCAGAGCCCACAGCGATCGATTAGAGAGAAGCGAGCATCCAAGCAGCTAGCTAGCTAGTTGCGATTTGCGAGAGAGGTCGAGTTTCCTTTGTAAGGGGATCGGATCGGAAGCAAGCATCCAAGCCTCTATGGCGAGCTCCGATGGTGGTTCCAGCTCCCCCAAGGCGCCGCCGGGCAGCTACGGGCTGCCGCTGGTGGGCGCCGTGCGCGACCGCCTCGACTTCTACTACTTCCAGGGGCAGGACAAGTACTTCGAGTCCCGCGTGGAGCGCTACGGCTCCACCGTGGTGCGCATGAACGTGCCGCCGGGCCCCTTCATGGCGCGCGACCCGCGGGTGGTGGCGGTCCTGGACGCCAAGAGCTTCCCCGTGCTCTTCGACATGGACAAGGTGGAGAAGAAGGACCTGTTCACGGGCACCTACATGCCCTCCACCTCCCTCACCGGCGGCTACCGGGTCTGCTCCTACCTCGACCCCTCCGAGCCCACCCACACCAAGGTGAAGCAGATGCTATTCTCCCTCCTGCTCTCCCGCAAGGACGACGTCATCCCGGCCTTCCGCTCCAACTTCTCCGCGCTGCTCGCCACCGTCGAGTCGGAGCTCGCCAAGGGCGGCAAGGCCGAGTTCAACAAGCTCAACGACGTCACCTCCTTCGACTTCATCGGCGAGGCCTACTTCGGCGTGCGGCCCTCGGCGACGGACCTCGGCAGCGGCGGGCCGACCAAGGCGGCCAAGTGGCTCATCTGGCAGCTCCACCCGCTCGTCACGCTCGGCCTCCCCATGGTGCTCGAGGAGCCGCTGCTGCACACGTTCCACCTCCCGCCCTTCCTCGTCAAGGGCGACTACAGGGCGCTGTACAAGTACTTCTCCACGGCGGCGAAGCAGGCGCTGGACACCGCCGAGGGACTGGGCCTGTCGCGCGAGGAGGCCTGCCACAACCTGCTCTTCGCCACCACCTTCAACAGCTACGGCGGGCTCAAGGTGCTGTTCCCGGGCCTCCTGGCCAACGTCGCCAGCTCCGGCGAGAAGCTCCACGAGCGGCTGGTGGCCGAGATCCGCGGCGCCGTGGCCGAGGCCGGCGGCAAGGTCACCCTCGCGGCGGTGGAGAAGATGGAGCTGGCCAAGTCCGTGGTGTGGGAGTCGCTGCGCCTGGACCCGCCCGTCAAGTTCCAGTACGGGCACGCCAAGAAGGACCTGCAGATCGAGAGCCACGACGCCGTGTTCCAGGTGAAGAAGGGCGAGATGCTGTTCGGCTACCAGCCGTGCGCCACCAGGGACCCCCGCGTGTTCGGCGACACGGCCAAGGAGTTCGTTCCCGACCGGTTCGTCGGCGAGGAGGGCAGCAAGCTGCTGCAGTACGTGTACTGGTCCAACGGCCGCGAGACCGAGAACCCAAGCGTCGACAACAAGCAGTGCCCCGGCAAGAACTTTGTGGTGCTCGTCGGCAGGCTCTTCCTCGTCGAGCTCTTCCTCCGTTACGACACCTTCACCGCCGAGGTCGGCACGGAGCTGCTCGGCACAAGTGTCGTCTTCACTGGCGTGACGAAAGCTACCACCGGTCCGGGCAGCGAGTAAGCGTCATTGGTTGGATATGATTGGAGGGTCCCATTTCCTATTATATTTCGTTCCCTTTTTCCGCTTGTAAAGATCTCTCTCTCTCTCTCCTCTTCACGTACGTGTGATTGGAGGCGTTTGACGCTTTTGTAATGCATGTTGGCGTGTTGCATAAATTTTTTGGCCTAGTTTAGATTGCAAAAAAAATTTGACCCGTTTAGATTGCAAAAAATTTTGGCCCAGCCCAAAAATTTTTGGCTTTGGGCTTTTTGGAACTAAACGGCACCCAAAATATTTTGGCCTAGTACTGTTCATGGTGGGGTGTTCGGCCTGGCACTGTGCGGTTTGGGAGGCGTGAAGGACGCCTGGTACCCCGCACCCACCCCTTATCCATTCATCACGCTCGCCCGACACTGCCCCTCTATCCCTCACTCTCATCCACTCTCGAACCCTAGCCCCACGCCGTCGGTCACTCCCTCCCACCGCCGCTGATCTCCCGCCATTCCAACGCCGCCGCGCAGATCCACGAGCTACACCACTAGATCCACCCCGTCGGAGTCCGGATCGAGGACCACCTTCGCGCGTTCGGTGATGGAAGGACACGACGACGACGACATGAACGGCACCGGCTACAACGGCGACCATGGCATCGACGGCGCCGGCCACGGCAACGACGCGCGCACCAGGGATTTCCTGGCGCCCTATAATCCCTGGGGCCATGCCGGCGGTAGCGGCCTCTTCCCCGACGCGGCGCAAACCTTCTTAGGTTCAAGCAGATTCAACCAGTCCCGGTTGGGGTTGGAGTCGCTGGATCTCAACGGCGGCGAGGACTGGCCGCAGATGCAGGCCTACGCGGGCTACATTCGGGGGGACAACGAGGTCCCCCCCATGGCTCCCACCCCCATCCGCGTGACTTCCCGCAACATTGCCATCGCCGGCGGAGGAACATCCGTTGGAGGCGGCATGGGTGGAACATCCGTTGGAGGCGGCTTCGTCCCTCCTCTGTCTCCTCCATGGGGAGGTGCGGGTGGCCGTCGTAGGGGCCGCAGTGCGCGTGTACGCGGGCCGGGGCCAGCCATTCTTGATGACAACTTCAATCATGACGACAACACTCACGCCCCGCGAGCCCCGGTACAAATTCCACTCCCTTTCTCCTTGATCTTCTATTTCGTAGTAGATCTGCTGAGTTACATGCATGTGTCTAGGGTGCTATATGTATTATTTAGTTGCTCTTGCTATGAGTGTTCTGTGATACAAATTTAAGCTACAACAGTTGTAGATATTGATTAACCTAGCTTAAGTGTTTACCAAATGGTTTAATCTCTGTACATGTCGTGAACTGAAACAAGCATCGTTTAGGCTATGAAACACAAGGCCAACTGGACTGTCCCGAACACTAAGAAGTTCTATGACATATGGTGCCATGAAATTGCCATTGGCAATTGTACCAAGGGAGTCATGAGCAAGACTGGGTGGAGGGACCTCATAAGGAGGTACCAAGCAGAAACAGGTTTGGTCCATGACAGGGAGCAGATTGCTGGTAGGCTAAGGCAGCTGAAGGCTCAATGGGCATTCTGTAACAAGCTCCGCTACGCCTCTGGCTTAGGCCGTAGCGACGATGGAATTGTTGAGGCCACTGATGCATGGTGGAAAGCAAATACCAACGTAAATGATCTATCTATCTCTTCTGAGTTTCAGCACTTACTAAGTAAAACATTGCATAACAAAGCATTTCATATTGCAGGGGCAGTCTGATTTGATGAAGTTCAGGAAAGGTTTGCCTGAGTACTTAGATCAAATGGACAAAATGTTTACTGGAAACACAGTAGATGGCTCCACATCTTTTGTTGCTGGTGAAAGTGGTACTATTGATTTGGACGGTGGAAGCTCCGATGAAGAGGCAGCAGATGAAATGGAAGACCAGCTGACCCCACTGAGCATTGGCAACAAGAGGGCCAGCAACACGAGCACCACTGCATCCAGCCCACGCAAGAGATCCAAGAGCCTAGCACTGAGGGCAATGGACAACAACATGAGGACACACAATGAAATTGCCAACCGTAGGCTCTGCCTGATGGAGAGCATGTTTGAGCACAGGAAGCAAGAGGAACCACAATTCACGGTCGGCCCTTAGCCAGAAGATAGACAGGGTCACCCAGATAGCAAGGGAGATGGGTATAAGTGCACAGACTCCAACATTGTTTAGGGGCCTGTACAAGATCATCCACAATGAAAGTGATATGGACTTCTTCCTTGCCAACGGCCCTGAAGAAAGGATGATCATCATCGAGCAAGCTACGCCGGTGGACCCATAGACCATCTTATCTTATTTCGTCTATGAATTGAAGTTCATGTCGTAATAGTGTCCTCAAACAATGTCGGCCATGTCCTATGTCATATGAACTAAGTCTGTACTGCATGAATGTGTGTTTGAACTGTGTTTGTGATGTTTCTTATTTCAACAACTTAAATGTAGTAATGTTTGGTGAACTTGAAGTATGGTGACCATGTCAACTATGTGATGCATGGGTGAGAGGGAATGGGAAATGTCAGTGAACGTAGTCATGCATGACATGAATTGTAATGTGATTCATGACTGACTTTAGTCCTTGTTTGTTTGGACAGGTTGATGTTGTATCAGGAGCAGCAACCCATTGTGTAGACCCTTGGGATGTTTTCCAAGAGATGATGGCTGAGTTAGAGGATGCTGAAGATGATGATGCTTTTATCTATGGTATGTACCAGTATGCCCTACACATTGACAAGCATTTGAATAGGGCTGAGTATAGGCAACCTGCCATGACTGGTTTGAAATGGGTACAGAGGAGGCTTGGGGATAGCAAGGCCTGTTTTAGCATGTTTAGAATGAGCCCACCTATGTTCCATACACTGCATGATCTTTTAGTACACTCATATGGCCTGAAATCTAGTGCTAAGTCCACCTCGGTTGAGGCTCTAGGGATGTTTCTTTGGATGCTTGGGGCACCACAATCTTTTAGGCAAGCTGAGGATAGATTTGAGAGGTCACTAGGGACTGTCTCCAACATGTTAAACAAAGTTTTGAAGTGTATGGTGAAGCTTGCTGCTGACATTATTAAGCCTGTCGACCCACAATTTAGAATAATGCATCCTAGACTAAGAAACCCTAGGTTCTATCCCTACTTCAAGGACTGCATAGGGGGTATAGATGGGACTCATGTACCTTGTGTGGTGCCCAATGATAAGTTTGTGCAGCACTTGTGCCGCAAGGGCATGACTACACAAAATGTCATGGTTGTCTGTGACTTTGACATGAGATTTACATTTGTTCTTGCTGGTTGGCCGGGGTCTGTACATGACATGAGAGTATTCAATGATGCAACAACAACATACAGCCATGTCTTTCCACATCCACCTGCAGGTACACACCTATCAGATAGCACATTTGGGTCCTTGTTGTTCAACTACATGAATGTAAAATATTTTGTTGCTGATGTAGGAAAATATTACCTTGTGGACTCCGGGTACCCTAACCGGCTAGGTTACCTTGCTCCTTACAAGGGAACTAAGTACCATCTGCAGGAGTATCGAGATGCCCCAGAACCCCAAGGTAAAGAGGAGACCTTCAATTATGCACATTCATGTCTTCGGAATGTCATTGAAAGGTCATTTGGAGTTTTGAAAATGAGATGGCGTATCTTGCATCAGATCCCTTCTTATGCACCCCATAAACAAAGCCAAATCATAGTTGCATGTTGTGCTCTACATAATTTCATTAGGATAAGTGGCATAGGGGATAGACACTTTACAAGGTGTGACCGTGATGATAACTATGTGTCGCGAGAAGCGTCTGAGAATCAGCCTGACCCCGAGGAAGTTGAGGATGAGTCTGATCTGATGAATGAATTTCGTGATTCGATTGCTTATGCTTTGCTAAACCGTTATTGACAGTTTTGTGTGTTTGAGGTCATGTATGTGTACTGCATATGTACAGTTGTGTCAGTACAGTTTTGTGGATGAATCATGCATGATTAATTGTTAATTACATCTGTTGTGTCATTTGGATCAAACATGCATGCTATTGCATGAGAGACAACAACATGCATGCATTTCAAGCTTCAGCATGCATTGGCTGCATGCATGTGTCAGCATGCATTGGCTGCATGCATGCAATTGTTACAGCTGCCAGGTTTTGGGAATGGCAGCCAAAATTTTTTGGCAACTAAACAGCAAACCCAAAAAATTTTGGATCTCAGGTTTTTGGCCAAAACCTGCTACTGTCAGGTTTTTGGCTGAGGCCAAAAAATTTTGGTATCTAAACGCAGCCTAAATTTGCTCCAAAAATCTTATCTTTCACAAAGAAATCTAGGCCACAAGCAGGCACATTATTCTAGCATATCAACAGTAGGTACATACGCTGCACGAATCGACGACCTAATCTCTTAGCAGCCCTGCCTTGCATACTATTCAAGCCCGTTGACGAGACATTATTATTAACTTTATTACGTGGGCTCCAGGGAAATGACGCTCTTTACCACGTTGACGACAACACGACGATCTAGATCTTTACCGTTTGCATACTGCCTTCTGTCCGACCTACGTGGGCTTCAGGGAAATGACGCTCTTTACCATGCACGAACTGTGCATGCACGAGGTTTTGTGGAAATTGGATCCGCTAGGGCTCTCCAAGTGCAAACACCTAAGCCCTTGTTTAGTTCGCGAAATTTGAATTTAGGGCTATTATAGCATATTCGTTTTTATTTGGCAAATAGTGTTCAAACATGGATTAATTAGGCTTAAAACGTTTGTCTCGCAATTTTCCACCAAACTATGCAATTAGTTTTTCTTTTTGTCTACATTTAATGCTCTATACACGGACCGCAAACATTCGATGTGACAGGTACTGTAGCAACTTTTTAGAATTTGGGTGAAACTAAACAAGGCGTAAGTCTAAGTGCACGTCCATACGCACGTGGGTGCACCTTAACAAATGTCTAAGGGCCTGTTTGGTCCATTTGCTAAAATTTAGCTAAAAAACTAGTGATTAAAATTTTAGTCACTCCTATTTAGTTTCTAGTGACTAAAGGCCACTAAAACAGTTCAACAAAGACCACACTATCCCTAATGAATGTCCAAATCAGGGTGGGGGACCAACAATAATGAGGGACAGTCATTGTCCACTAGGCACTTTAGCCTACTTTTAGCTACTCATGGGTGACTAATGTGACTAAACTACTTTAGTCTCTTTTTAGTCAGTTTGTTTAGTAGCTTAGTAGCTAAAGTGACTAAAGTTTAGTAGCTAAACTTAAGCAAGAGCAACCAAACAGGCACTAAGATTAAGATCTACCCTTGCATATACTGATGTACATGTACTTTACCGCTGATAACATGTGTGAGACTCCAACTGATAATTTTAAAATAAAAAAAAAATCAATAGCTGGTTGAAGCGTCCATATCGTCTATCATAAAGCTCACTCGACCTCAAGTCCTATACATATTGATTTTGTTTAATTTAAATTTCATATAAACGGAAACATCCACAAACACATATGCACACTCACCTCTACGACGCATGCATGTAAATATTCTACTCTGACTAGCGCATCTCTAAAAACTCAACCAATATTTATCAAGATTAACGAAATCACCAATGTGTTCTCGTTAAATAATGGTGTCACTAATTTTTCAAAAAAAATCTGATTACGTATACGCTTGTACTGAGAAATGAGGTTTAAGCGGTTAATAAGTACTTGCCTTTCAACGTGTTGGGCCATTCTCAATGAAGCATTTCATAGCGTTATTTTCAAGACTATCACGTTCATATAAAATCAAATGAAACATGGATGAAAATATTATACATTGTCAACGTATACTTTCGTTCTAGTGTTTTATAGATATTTAATTTCATGATACATATAGAGTTGGTAATTGTGCCAAGAGAGATAAAACTCACTTCTTCTTTCTCATATTAAAAATACTGTGGGGACTTCGTTTCTTATGCAGGAAATGATAACGATCTCTTCGTGTTTTCTTCTCTTTCTTCATTAAGTTGTTTGCCACCTCAGAGTTTTGCTTATGTGGCAATGTAATTAGTTCTATGAAAACTATATCCTAGTCACTGAGTTGGGACTGGCCTTATAAAGCTCACTTGACCTCAGGAGTCCTATACATATTGATTTTGTTTAATTTACATTTTAATAAATGAAAATGTCCACAAACACACATGCACACTCACCTCTATGACGCACACATGTAAACACTACTCCGACTATCATCTCTAAAATCAAACCAATATTTATCGACATTAATTGACAAAATCACCACATGTGTTCTCGTTAAATAACGGTGTCATTATTTTTTTTAAAAATAGATCTAATTATGTATACGCTGAGGTTTAAGTGGTTAATAGGTACTTGCCTTTCGACTTGTTGGGCCATTCTCATTGGAGAATTTTATGACGTCTTGAAGACTGTCACATTCGGATGAAATCTCCATTCTCAATGCGTAAGTTTCATTCTAGTGTTTTATAGACATTTAATTTTATGATATACATAGAGTTGGTAATTTCGCCAAGAGAGAAAACTCACTTCTTCTTTCTCATATTAAAAATAATGTTATATTATTAAAAATGTTATGTGACAGCTTATTAAAAGCAAAGAGCAGACATCGATGAAGTAAGGTGATCTTATAAAATTGATGCCATGAAGTAAGGCAAAGTACTCGAAAAAATAAAATGACAGAGGAGCAGGCTAAAACCTGTGTTGATGATCGACAACGCAGAAGCTTGAAATTGAATAATGTAACGGCTCTTCTAGCACAGCTTGTGGCAACTAGTGTGTTGCAAGTTGCTACTAAAATTTGCCGCTTTTAACTCTACCGTAATCCACAAGCTACTCGCCTAATCCATACGCCTTTTTCTAACTTTTGTCTCCAACTCTCAAGCGTGCGTGGTCAAACTTTCTGATATGTTGCCTCCATCCAAAAAGAAATATAGCCCTAAATTCATAAATGCTTTTTACAAAACAAAAGCATCAGTTACTTTCATATTTTTTTTTCTCGAACATACAGAAGGTTTGCGCGATAGTGGCCCTATTGCACGTCTTTGTATTAAGGTAGGAAAAAAATTCATTCAACACGCCTTAGCGTTGCCCTAGAGAGTCAATAAATTGTACATGAACACTCAGATTTTTCCTAGTGTACTTCCATATATGTTTATATAACAAAATATATTATGGCTCTGTTCGCGTGCCTTTAAATCCGGCTTGATCCGCTTCTTTTTTTATCCGGAACAGTGTTTTCCTCTTACAAATTTCTCCAGATTCATCCAAATTTATTCAGATTCCTCCAAATTCTTCTAAGCGAACGGGCCTATATAACTAATCAACAATATTTACTCCATTTGTTCTAAAATAGATTAAAACTTAAAAAGGACAGGGATTTCATGTAGTACAGTCCTTTGACGTCTCGGCACAAGCACAACGACTAATGATAACTGATAAGGATAAAGTTAAAAGGTAGAAACTGCAAGACTGTTCACGCAAGCAGAATATAGCAAGCTGCAGCCATACCATACCAAGTGTATGCCGAACTTTTCCCCTGTCAACTTCACGCGTGTACCTCGCGGGACTTTACTTTTAACTATAGTAATAACTAAGTACAACACGTCACGCCCATCGCCGAAAATCCGGTGCCAGTACCATAGATACTGTGGTAAATAAGTACGTGTTTGGTTAAAGCCTCCTAAAATTTAGTTATCTAAACCAGCTTATGAAGTTTAGTCACCTCATATTTGATTCGGTGAATTTAAAAAAAAATAAAAGATGCTTTTGAGTTTCTTTTATTCAGAGTATTTGATCCAAAGTGACTAAAAGATGCAACGGTCTGATTAAAAAGTGAGCTTTAGTCTCTATCGGGGACCTAATACTGGAGTACCCAATGAGGTTGAATTAATAACCATCGAACATTGACGCTTCCGGTCAGACAAGAACGCCACTACACTTCTTGCTCGAACGACGGAAGATTGGTTACGCCTCGCCCGACCCCCAAGGGCTAAGACTCCGCCTCGCCTGACGATTGAGGGCTAGCTTAGCCTTGCCCGACGTCCGAGGGCAGGCTCCGCCTCGCCCGACGATCACACCCTGCTCCTTCATAATGACGAGCGCAGGGTACGACATGACATTCGAGTCAACCGTAGTATCGAGGGCCATGCCCTGCATACCTGCAGGAAGGTACCGTCAGGATACGACGGGACGGGCGCTTTAAGCCCTTTCCGACCTGACAGAGCCCGAACAGTGTTGTAGGCGCCGACTTTTGTCCCATAGTGTTATAGGCGCCACCATCAGCCCTCGGACGCGGATACTAACATAGGCATACGACAACCACTACAGTCTAAGAGAGAACTCGCGTCATCAACAGTAACAGGCGTATAGTCACTTCCTCGTCTACTCCCCGCAGAGTCATGGCTCGATACCCTGACACACCGCACCGTCCACCGGGGGAGGATGAGACGTGACCACTCGCTGAAACGAAGCCAGAGCTCGACTCTATTAGGATCAGTGAGGCATGCTATCCCTGGCATGGTCTGCCATGACAGTAGGGCAGGCTCAAGGAAAAAGAAAGACCCGGCACCTTCGAAGGTCCTTCTCTACCTTTGGTTTTTTCTCTTTCTCCCATCTATAACTCCTGCTCCCCCTTGGTCTATAAAAGGGAGGACAGGACGTCCCACTAAGGGGATGGATCGATTCCACACACAACACACAGCCAAGCAACAACCGAGCTCTTGGCGTCCTTTCGACCTTTCCATCAGAGACTTGGGACTTGTCCCTCTCTCGATCGTTTGTACCCCCTACTACAAACCTTTTTTTGTACTAATAACACGAGTAGCAGCAAACTTGACATAGGGATATTCTGCCCGAACCAGTATAAACCTTGTGTCCTTTAGTACACTATCCGAGTCTAACGCGCAACAATTATAAATTTACTAGTTGGTGTTTGTTCGAAACACCAACAGTTAGCGCATCAGGTAGGGGCCTTTACGTGTTCCAAATCAGGCCTCGGATGGCTAGCCACACAATCAGCTGGGTCCCGGGCGCACACGTGCGTTTTTGTGACCTGGACTTCATCGTCACGGTGGTAGGAGAGTTGGCGTTGGCCCACGTCGCCATCCAATCTCTTCCCTCCATTGACTTCAACTACGGGAGGCTTGAGCGTCAGCCCGGTGTCTCCCTTGGACCCCAGCCATCCAGGGAGGACCCATGCCGCCTCACCCTCTCCCTGGAACACTCCGCACGGAGCAC